GTGAAGCAATTGTCTTGATCGAATTTAGTTGGTTCTTGTGTGTTTGATACCGAGTTGACAGTAAATTATGACGAGGAGTGACAGAATTTTCTCGAGTGGATTTAGATGGTTTGGAACTGTTGGTATGTACTTGTGTTTGATACAGTTGGAAGATATCGATTTTGAGGTAGAATTTTTTTTCGTAGATTTCTTTGCAATGTTAAGTACGAAAGATAATACGAAGTAAATGGTTTGATACTGTTTGAGACTCCATAGAATTTTTCTGTAATTAGTGGTTTGTAACTCTTAACACCCTGAAGCTTCTAAAAATTAGCACAACTCTGGGAATTTTTTTATAAGTAACTACTGAATCAAATATTTCAATTTTTTTAGAGGATATAAACGTAACTTTCAACTTTTGTCTCCAATTTTTAAAATATAACATAATCATACGTAAGATAGTATGAAGCGACTGGTTTGATATAGTTGCAAGTTGTTTGAGACTCCACAAAATTTTTCTGTAGAACAATACTTCTGTTGAGACACGCGTGTGGAACAGTTTAATTAATTACGCGAATAAGAATTGAAAAATGTACGTTCGGGCTATCTGTTTTACATTTTGCAACATCAAAAGTGCAGTATCAATTAACGATGAATCGATTTTTACGTATCGTATCATTCATTCGAATAGCTCTATCGAAGCAGTAAAGTTTCGAGTAATTTATTCAAATTAGATGCGCGTCGATCGGACGAGCACATCGCTGTGTAGTTCTTAATGAATTATCCTTCGAATTAGCTTTAATCACTTCGTTAAAAAATATTATCCACGCGAACGCAATACGATATGTGCATACCGATGTTTCTTTTATTAGGTTTTACTTTTAAGCAGAATTATGTCATCGATAAAATTCTATTTCGGCCGTTCCAAATATCTAATCTTGCTTATCGAATCCACTTAAATTCTCGACATTCCTCAATTTTAATAATTCACGTTTAATTTGAACAATAAGCTATCTAATCTAATCTGACTTTACAAGAAAATTTATTAGCTCATCCCATAAGTTTCATGACGAATTTTATAATTTAGCTCAATATTCCTTAATAAGATAAGTAAGACTTAATTTTTTTTAGCATGAATTGGAGTAAATTTTCCTATTTTTTTTTTAGTAAGACCTTAGTAAGACTTAATTTTTTTGTTAGTAAGATTTGGATTTCCTCGGTTTTCCATTAAAATATTTTTCACATACGTCACGAACTTCCGTAATGACCTGATACAAACACAAATCCGCTCTTCTCACGCACGAAGAAGAATCGAACGGTAAATCCAACTCCTCGAACATGAACCTTCCAAAACAAAAAATCCATCCTGAAGAACTGAAAAGTACCAGCAGCCGCCGTAACCTTCTCTCGCGTTTCCTTCATCCAGACCAGAAACATTTTCCTAGTTTAATCCACTCCCGGGGTATAAAACAAAGCAGCCGCGGGGTGTCAAACGCGTCCGTTAACAAACGTAACCCAGAAACATCCATTCCATTCCATTTTAAGGAAGCTCTCGAGCCTCCGGAACCAAGCAGCCAGCAAACCGTGGATAGTAGTAGAGGAGAAGCTCGCTGGATATTGCGTTCCTCGCGACTGGATCATAAACTCGGTCCGTTGAACATTTGGCAGCGTGTAAGTAGACGGTAGACGCTGCAAAATCGCGTTGGTGTTGTTGTTACAGTAGGCTGTGTGCGTTATTTAACCCTCGAAAGGCGTATGATTAGGCTGACGAAACGGGAGGCGGTGCTCGGGACAGTTTGGACCCGTATTAACTACAGTTACGAGTTATCGAGGTTCGAGCTATCGAGGTTCGAGCTATTGAGGTTCGAGTTATCGAGGTTCGAGCTATCGAAGTTCCAGTTATCGAGGTTCGAGTTATCGAGGTTCGAATAATCGAAGTTCCAGTTATCGAGGTTCGAGCCATCGAAGTTCCAGTTATCGAGGTTCGAATTATCGAGGTTCGAATAATCGAAGTTCCAGTTATCGAGGTTCGAGCCATCGAAGTTCCAGTTATCGAGGTTCGAATAATCGAAGTTCCAGTTATCGAGGTTCGAGCCATCGAAGTTCCAGTTATCGAGGTTCGAGTTATCGAGGTTCGAATAATCGAAGTTCCAGTTATCGAGGTTCGAGCCATCGAAGTTCCAGTTATCGAGGTTCGAATTATCGAGGTTCGAGTTATCGAGGTTTGAATTATCGAGGTTTGAGTTATCAAACTTCCACTACATCACGATTTGCGTTAGCACATAAACAAGTAACTTCCATAAAATTTCCTGTGTGGCAACGTGGTCGGGTCCGAACGGACCCAGTCACCGGCGTGCATTATTCAAAGGTGGAAGTTTCCGCCGGCGGTAAATCGCGCGGTCGAGCTCACGGGAATCGAAGTTCCTCTAGGGGCGCGTTTCTAACACGGATCCGGTCGTCGACGCGTGGAAAAGTTTCCTTTGGCGCCGACCAAGGAACGACGACAACGTCGACGTCGTCGACGACGCCTGGACGCTTTGAAGCGTTCCACGCGCTGGCAATAAATTTCTGGAGAGAGAGAGGAGCGCAGAGGCGAAATAGCCGCGGCTTTTTAATCAGAGACTGTTCGTTCGCGCGCCGCCCGAAAGACCTGTCCCACTTTGCTCCCTTCTGTGCTCGCGCTGAAAATACGCGAGCGTTGCCGAGCGGACGTGCCACCACAGGGATCGAAGAGGTTCCTCCAGTACGCTTAGCGACGACCAGCTCGCGGTTGCTTTGCTATGTTAGAGGGTACTGTGAAATGCTCGATTCCGGGGTTACGCTTCGTTGTCGGCGGTGTGAGGATCGTTTTTTTCTTTTTACGAGTGATGTGAGCTGAGGATTCCAATTGGACGAGGAGACTTCTTTGGGGGACATTTTCAACCTCGTCTTACGTTTGACGGTTAGTGAACTGGTTTTATTCGGGAAGGATTTTTTAACCCTTCGCTTTATGGTGGCGTGTTGCAGCTTGTGGCGGAGATGTTAGAAATGAAGTATCGCGTTTGGGATGAAGTTGAATTTTAAGTCGAACTCTAATTTCAATTTCAATTAATTTCTGTTTATGCTTGGAGCTTAGTACATAGAAATTATGCATGGAATCTTAACAACATTGTAAATAGAGGGAACGTTCAATGGAACTTATTGTTCATTCTGAATAGATTGTAAACAGTTTATTCAATTAAAAAAAGAAATTGCAAATAGCTGGTGACAAACCATATGTAGTCTTTAAAAAATTGTAAAGCAAGGGGTTAATCAGTTGGCTGAGTTTGCATGTTTTCTCTGATTGTGATGCTGTGTTCAGAAATATTTGAACGTGTGTTGACTATCGATCTTTATCGCTTTCTTGAAGAAATATACAATTTGTAAGATTATTGAAAATTATTCATTTAAAAATTGAATCTTTCTAACAGTTTTTTAATGGCCTCTAAATTAATTTTCTTCTAAATCAAGTTTCTTGGAGAACACCTTAAAAAGTGTTCCCGAGACTTTCGTCACTTAGTTAGCATTTTTCTGTCTATCTCGTCCCATAATTTTTCCGCAAAGTTCAAACTTGGCTATTGCGTAATTTTTAACGCATTTTTAAAATTTTCTAAGTAATTTTCGCATAATTCAGCCTTAGCACCCTCGTTGTTTCCAGGAAAAGAAAGACTGTAGCTTAAATTTTAAATCCAAGCGCATCAATCTCGTTAGAATACTTAATTACCCACGTTTCTAATTTAACACTGTCCATGCTCGGCGAAAAGAAAGCGGTATTTGGCAGAATTTTAAATTCCAGCGAAAAACTAGCATCAGAATGTACCGTGATCAGAGAAAAAACATAGGGATTATTCCGTATTCCTGATATTTCCATTCTCCTCTACACCTGCGTTACCTGAATACCACGTGAAAGAAAAGCTTTCTTCGCCTAATGAATATTTTATCTCCGCCTAGTGTGACAGAACGCGATAAGAATTTCTTCCTTGAAACATTTCGAATCGTGAGAATGATTCGGTGAGAATTACAAGTGTAGCAATATCGAAACGGTAGAATGGAAAGTAGGTTTTCTGGTAGATTCGAAGATTGAATAGGTCTATGGAGTACTGAAACTGTGGTAGAAATTTCTAAAGCTTCTTCAAGAAAGAGTGCTTCGTATTCAAAGTGGCTGGAAGATTCAGGATTCCGTTGCAATTTAGTTGCTTCGATGTGCTTTATTATTATTGCTGGATAACATTATACTTCTCGCGAAATAAAAAAGCTCCGTGAAATTTTGAAGTAACTAAATTTTCGAATCTGAGAAATTGATAACAAGTGCAACAGTAGATAATGCAGATTTTCAAGGAGCCATTGTGAGATATTCAGATTAGATTGAAATAGCATTTTTATTAAGAAAAAGTACTTTTGTAAAAAAAAAAGTTACTTATTTAACTTGTGAAATTAGTTATTTATTTTTTTTAAATTGCGAACAAGATTAGCACAAGTCCCATATTCTAATTTTACAGTGATCCCACGTGAAACAACATTCCACTCGAAGTAATTCAAACAATTCGTTCTTTTTTAACATCATTTTTTATCTTTATTATCTATTCTTGTTATCTTGCAGCGTAAATAGCTTCCTATGACTCTAACAAAATAAAGAAAAAACAGTAATTTGTTACATACACCTCAATTTCGAAAAAAAAAAATCGAATTAAACCAGCTTATCTCTGAAATGCAAAATTTTTCATCACCTACATTGAAACATTAATACACTACTAAATTCCACACACATTCTCTCCTTCCCCAACCAGTATCTTTCCAATTAAAAACATCCACTTATCCACCGCGCAATCTCATCTTATCATTCACGCGACGTCTTCGTCTTATCCACCGTCTCAATAATCCCATCCACGCGGAACGCTCCGTTTCGAGCTAAATCCGCGGGCTCAGGCCGATCCATAAAACGTGCCTAAAAATCAGCCAAAGCCAGGCAGATAAGATAAAAGTGCTCGGTCGTGTTTCCTCAGATCCTGCAATAAAAGCGCACGTGCGTCGGTTGTTGTCACCGGGACAGCCGGCCTGCGACGAAACGGACTCGTCGAAGATCTCCCACGAGGCGACCACGCTCACGAATAACCCTAGACCAGTGTCGTCGGGGAACGGCGAGGATACGGAGCCGAGGAAACCGGGCACACCGGAACTTCCGGGCGGCTCGCCCCAGGAGCCGACAGGCGCGACGCAGTATGCGACCAGAAGCAACGGTTCATACAGCGACGCGTCTGGCTCGTCTGAGCTGGAGGCGCTGCTTCCGCCAGTGGACAGCTTCAAGGAGGAGGAACGCGCCCAATGGGAGCCACTTTCCGGCGACAAGTTCACCAGACAGAAGAATACACCTAGGTAAGGTGACACACATGGAACATTTTTTTTTATCAACGCTGGAACTGCCAGACCAATATGACCCTGTTTTAACACTTTACCGACCGGTAACCTATTAATCGGCTTTTTGCCGCTAACGCTTACCGACCGGTAGCCTATTAATCGCTTTTCTGCCGCCAACGCTTTTACCGACCGGTAACCTATTAATCGCTTTTTTGCCGCCGACACTTTTCGACCGGTAGCCTATTAATCGGTCAAAGTTTGATTTAACATTTATATAGGTATAAGAAAACGCTCATATATTCCCGCGCGATAGCTTAAAGTCTGAACAGAGCCGGTGTATCTGTGGCCGAGTGAGCGGTCGGAAGTGCGTAGGATGTTCAACCGCTACCGGTCGGTAAAGTATTAACACGTTCCGTGTCACGTGGGCCGCATACGCGCCATTTTGGACTTTCCGTTCAGGCCATTCGATATTTCGACCTTTTCTTTGCGTTGACTTGACACTTTGCTCTACTTTCCCTTTATTTCAATATTTCAGCGTAATATTAGTTATAAAATACAAAGTTTCACATTCGATATTTCGGCCTTGACTTAACCCTTTGCGGCCCAAATAGTCCAGTTAGTCCGCGCTCATTTGGTCACTCTTAGACAGTATCGTGCAGTTTCTTTTTATTTCAAAATTTCGGCGTAATGTTAGTTGCAAAATACTAAGTTTCGGTGTAATATTAACGCATTAAAAAATGGTTTATTATCATTTATAATTTATCATTATACGATATCTGAGGGAAAAATTGTTAGGTCGAGTCTGACTCGACATAGGACCGCAAAGGGTTAAACTATACAATTACGGCGATAATTTGTTGAAACAAAAATTTTTCCTTTGCCCTATAGCGCATTTTAAACGTTACCTTCTTCCTGATAACAATGATTTTTGCAATCTTGCGAATATTAGAAGACACATAGTGTCAAAAGCAAAACTGTTCGTGCGAAAGAAAGGTGGGAATATTAAACGGAAAGTCCAGAGTGGCACGGGACGTGTTTTAACCCTTTGAGGACGATGGAAAAACATGAATGCAACTAGTAAAGATAGTTAGCGTGGCTGTTAATTTTTAGCATGCCAAGACGAGGTGATGAACATTCTTTAAAAAATTCAGAATTTTCGATTAATTTGGGAATAATTAGAAATTCTGCGTTTTACGTTACGCGATTTAACATTAGGTTGTCCGGAAAATTCGTGAAAACATGAAGTTTGCATATGTTCCGAGAGATTATTGCTTCATGTGTCTTTTGAAGGTTTATTCCATACTATTACTAGCTTCGAACACGAAAGAAAATAGAGTACATTTCTTACGTTTAATCTTTTTCTTTTATCAAAAAGGGAAAAATGCCACTGAAACAGTAAATGAGGTATGTAACGTTCACAGAGAAGGTAGGCTGTCAGAAAAAATTGTTCGCAAAATTTACAAATAAAAATTTCGATCTCCAAGAAAATCACAGAAAAATCCAAATTTTTGACGAAATGAAATTTTGAAAAATTGTAGAACAAACTGGTACCTTAAAGTACAGAATTTTACTTACTTAAGAGAAACTGAGGCAAAACCAAGTACCTAACATATCTTTTCTGCCAACAATTTTCCGGACAACCCAGCACACGAAAATTCGCTCGACCACACAAACGACACGAACCCTCCACTATAACGAACGAAAGCAAAAAGAAAAAAAAAAACGTTTGACGCGATGTGAGTACAGGTTCGAAGCGTACATGATGACCGGCGACCTAATGCTGAACCTGTCGCGAACCCAACAGAGCAGCGGTCTTCTACCGAAGCACCAGAAGAAGGTCGACTCGCTTAGGTACAACAATCATCACACCCACCATCACCATAATCACCACAATCATCACCATCATAACTCGGTACCCACCAGTCCTAACGAGATGCTGGGCCATCACCGTGCTTACAAGTGCACCGGTTCGAACTCGGCCAGCACCTCACCGGTCGGGATCAGCAAACGTGATAGCGGGCAGTGTTCGGGCCAGGGCGACAATAGCAAACAGAATGCCGCGAGTTTTGGTTATTCGAGCGGTTTCGTCCGCACCTCGCGCTCCGAGGATCACCTGCAATTCCAAAAGGACCCGTCTATGAGCGCGGTGGACATTGACATTGACGACGACGTCACGTCCAGCTTGAACACCTTGCTGTTGGACACACGGCTGGACAGTGGTCAAGGTTTGTCCAGCGAGAGGATCGTATGGACGTACAACGCTCCAGTCAGCTCGCCGTCCGCCTCGGAGCGCACCTCCTGTTGTCAAAACGGCAGCTCCTCGCAATCCTCGTCCAGTAGCTCCTCCACCGAGGGCACGAGCCCTCAAAGATCCTTATCGCCGACCTCCCCTACCTCGGTCTCGTCCTCGGTCATGTCCTCCAATTCTGGATCCCGTAGGTTCCCACCGCCGGTACCCACGGGCACAACATCGACAGCCCTGGGCCCATCCGGCGACGGAACCACCTCCTCGGCCTCCGGCCTTCATCCCACCAACGGCGATCTCAGCCAGTCCGAGGCTATCAGCAACATGTCCAGCCCTGACTACAACGACGAGGAGACAATGGACATACTCAGTGCACGCGATATCATGATGGTCAGTGATCCGAGTGACAGTGACTCGACTATACTAGCCAGCGAACCACCCCAAAGGAGGTTGAAGGGGACATCGGCTAACGTTGTACCGACATCGAACGCCTATACACCGGCTCAGGATACGTCTGAGCATAGGATAGTGATACAGGTGAAGGGGCCGGACAAGGACGGTGGTGGAACGAGAAACACCAGTCCTAGGCAGAACAGGAGACGGGGAAATCCTAACAATCCGGAACTGGTGCCCACGTCCACGTCACAGAACACCGTGCAAAGACAGTCTGCGGGTAACAGCGCTGGAAATGTCACGCCTGAGTTCGTTGGCTATCAGGTAACCATTATTCATTTCTATTAGTTGTTATTTAATTAGTTGGTTGGGTTGTTATACGCTGCTTTGAGTCATTTGTCATATATTTTCAAAAATTGTCAATAATTACTCAGGTACGTGACGAATCATTTGGGTATACGAATTTAGGGTCTATTACAGACCCGATGATTGGTAGATAAATAAGGAATTCTTGAAAAATGTGATAATTCAGTTTAACCCTTCCGAGATCAACGGGACGCATATGTCCCACTTGAGTTCTCATTACAGACGCTATAATTGGCAGATAAATGACAAATTTAAAAAATAATAATGCATTCACGAAACGGTTAATATCACTCAAGATTCTTATACCTCAGGAGTGAATTGCATGGAAAATTTTTAAGGATCGTATATTGCAGCCACTGTGACATATTTAAAAAAATAGTTCAGAAAAATTTAATTCGGTGAAAAAGGGGATAACCCTTTCCTCATCAGCGGGACACATATGTCCCTCTTGAGTTCTCGTTACAGACGCGATCATTCGTAAATAAATAACAAATTTAAAAAAAAATACAGTCACGAAAGTATTAATGCCCCACAAAAATTAAAATTCTTAAAAAATATACAATATCCTCGCGAAAGGGTTAACATCACCCAAACGTTCTTACAACACAGAAGTGGAAGTGCATCGAAAATTCCCAATAAAAATTTCACCTCCCATTTCGCCTATTCACCCGAATTCCTTGCAGGAGTTAAAAGAGAGCGAAGACGAGAATGCCCTGAACAGCGGGATCTACGAGGACAAGCACGGTGGTGCGTCTCCTCCGCAGTCCGCTGACGAGGAGAGCGACATCGAGAGTCTGCACAGCTTCCATTACAGTCCAAAGGCGGTGGATTTACCATCGGCCGTACGATTAGCCAAAAGGCTATACTCCTTGGACGGCTTCAAAAAGTCTGACGTCTCTAGGCACCTTAGCAAAAAGTATGCCCGTTATAAAATATACACCTTTTTTCTCTGGAAAGCATCGTACGAAAATCCCATCGTGTCGTTTCCTTGTGTCTCTTATATACTTCGAAATTGTTCACGTTCGCGCACACTGTTGTAACATGTTGCCTATCCTGTTTGGCTTGCAGCAACGACTTTAGTAGAGCGGTAGCCGAAGAATACTTGAGATACTTCAGCTTTGACCGGGACACGCTGGACGTGGCTCTCAGAAAGTTCCTTGCCCAGTTCTCTTTGACGGGGGAGACCCAGGAAAGAGAGAGGGTTCTTGTACATTTCTCCAAGAGATTTCTCGATTGTAATCCGGGCGCTTTCAATTCTCAGGGTAAATATTCTTTTCCTTTCAATTATCAATTCGGATTTTCTTTTGAACCTTCGTTAACCCTTTCACTGCTATTGCCGCCTACAGGCGTTTCGAATGTTTGCACCCACTGTGCCTTTCGGGGTGAATTTAATCCTTAATTTTTGTCCTTTGCGCACTTTCGACACAGTCAATTTTTTAATTTTCCAAAAAATTTTGAAACCAAATTTTCCGCAGTGAAGGGGTTAATAGAGTGAAGATCACTTAAAACACCCGAAAATGTGCGAATATAATATGCAACAAGTGTATTGAAATTATGTCATAATAATGGAAACTGTATTATTCAGACCATGATTATAATTTAAATTGCAATAAACTGTAAGCATTTTTTTCATATTAGCCACACTCAAATATACTGTATTTTACAAAATATGGTAAATTTGTGTAAAATATGCAATCTAATCTTGCATATATTCTTAAAAGAAAATTAGTACAGGGGTCCCACTTTATTACCAATTTTCTATCAAAATATTCGTTTGCCTGAACATCCACAGTGAAACAATTCCACAAGGTAAACTGTCTGGATTAATAATTCGATCAATCCACGCCGCGAAAGCCTGAAAACTCTCGTCTTATCGGTCCACGATCGTCACGTTTATTTGATTTTCTTCTATTTTAGACGCTGTTCATACTTTAACTTGTGCTATAATGCTGCTCAATACGGATCTTCACGGTCAGAATATAGGCAGGAAGATGTCGTGTAACGAATTTATCGAGAACCTCTCGGAACTGAACGACGGCGATAACTTTCCCAGGGAGGTGTTGAAACAACTTTACAATGCCATCAAATCGTTCCCCCTGGAATGGGCCTTGTGAGTTTAATTCGAAAACATCGGTGAAATTGTTGCCAAACGTGTGTGACGAGAGATTTTTTTTGTTTGTTCAGAGACGAAGAAGGTGACGAAACTGCGAATCAAGCGATCCAACAGGGTGACGGTCCAGCGATATCTGGTACCGGAAATCCGTTTCTCGACGTGCCAAATGTTACGGGTGCTACAGAGTTCAAGAAGGGTTACGTTATGCGGAAATGCTGCTACGATTCCAACGGGAAGAAAAGTAAATATTCTTCCTCTCGAATTGGACAATTTTTTTGTATTCTGAACTGTCGAGAAAGCAGTTGACAAGTTTATTTTATGTTCACACACAAATGGACTTTAATTAGCCATATTAATCTCTTCAGTGAACTTTTTTAAAATTAGAAAGAAATTATCCAATTTTGTATGTAAAGTTTATATTAAACAATACTGTTGATGTCATATTTAGTTTCCAAATTTTAATCTCAAAAGATAAAATTGTTGGTAAATCTTCTGGAAAATGTCTATAGTCGAACGTATGTAGAATTCACGAGGAAAATATTCACGTCACTTCGATACTTTTCAGCTCCATTCGGAAAACGTGGCTGGAAGATGTATTATTGTACATTGAGGGAACTTGTATTATATTTGCACAAAGATGAGCATGGCTTCCGTAACGATAGTTTGCACAACGCGATACGCATTCATCATGCATTGGCCACAAAGGCGTCCGACTACACCAAGAAGGAACATGTGTTTAGGTTACAGACTGCCGATCAGGCAGAGTATCTCTTCCAAACGAGGTAATTAAAACGAACTTCCTTATGTAAATTAATATCGTCATCTTAATACTGCAATTAAATCATTCATAACTTCACATTTTCTGGATAAGTGTGTCGACAAGTCTTTCTTGCAATTGTGGTACGCTAAAAGTAGAAATATCAAAAGTTAGATAAATTAAAAATCACCTCCATGAATTTAAGATGTGTAGTTGTAATACCAATGTGACGATATCGTTTGCAACATATTATTACACAATAATATCATCGATTGTATGTAAAAATTGAATGGAAATTTTCAGTGATTCCAAAGAGCTGCAGTCTTGGATCGACACGATCAACTTCGTGTGCGCCAGTTTCTCTTGCCAGCCATTAGCAGGCGCGGTGGGTTCTCAAAGAAAGTTCCAGCGACCACTGCTTCCGTGCAGCCACACGAAATTATCTCCTGTGAGTAGTAATCGCGAGATCGAAGAGATTAAGAAAAGTGTTTCTTTAAGCTCGGTCACGCAAACCCAATATAATGTGTCTTCGTTGTTTCTTTATTTTACAAGCCTTCCTCCACTATCCCCGAAGTGAACTCCGTTCTCTAAAAGTTCTCGTACTCGAGATTCGGACACGAGAATTGTAGAACCGTCGTACATACAGAACGAAGTGTAGCGTACAAAAAGCGTATAAATGCCAGTTAATTGAACAAAAAAAAAAAGCAGAAAAAACCGTAGAAAGATAGACTTTCTCTCTCATGAATTCCTTTTGTTTTTTATTTCTCTCTTTTCCTGAAGATTTACATGTGAATGACGGGTGGTTGGATCTTTTTTTTTTTTGACGTGTTGTCAGAGAGAACAGTTACGGGACCATGAGGAGAGGGTGAGCAAATTGGAGGCTGAACTGGAGGAGCACAGACGACACCCGCCTGAGAGGGGAGCTAAGGCTCTTACTGTACAGAATTATAAGGAAAAAGATGCCTACTTACATCACGAGGTAATAATCAATGCCAATGTTTCATAAAAATTAAAATTCATCGATTGGAAGTTCATGCTATTAAAAACAAAAAAAAACATTCTTAGTGACTTTGGTTAATATTTTTGTGATTATAGCTCATTTAATTTTAATTAATATCGGTAGTAAGTGAAACGTAGAACTTTCTAAAAGTTATTAATATCCAATAAAACTGTTTCACATTTGCTATGCTCCATGGAGTATTTTTACCGAATCGAAGCGAATTACCTAACGTCCAATGAGAAAAAGAAAATTAAACCGCAAACAGTAAAAGAGCCCGGTTACTTTCACCGCCGTATATTTTATGCTTCTTCATTCTTAACCACTTATGTAACTGTAGCATTAAACTGCTGTTCTGATATTGAAATTCTCTTAGCCACTTCTTACAGATGATCGTTTATTATTATTTGCAGGCAATCCAGTCGTGTTTTCTTCAAACTGTACTAAATTTAATCTAATATCTTTTAAGCAATTTAAATCTTACACATTTCCTTCAATCAGCTACAAACACAACTCCTTAATTATTGTAATTAACAAGAAAAATAAAATAGTTGCTAAATCAAAATAAAAAAAGAAACAACTTTAGGAGTTGATAAAAATAACTGTAACTTGCTCTTACCATCGCCAAAGTTCCCGCTCAAATTCTAAACAAACTGTGATTCCGTCTGTAAACAATGTCTCTAAATTTCCCCTGAAAAATTAACCAGAATAACTGAAATTTACCTCTGTGAAATTTTAAATTAAAGTTGTATTATACTCGTGCATAATACCCCTAAAATTCACACGTTCTTTGTTTCAGTTGAAGAGGTACAAGACGTACGCGTACCTGTTACGGTTTAGATTGGCGTTCACAGAGGTGGAGCCATTGCTGGTGGAGAGCAGTATCGGCGAAGTGGACGAAGGAAGCGGGGCATTGCTGAACTCTGAAGTAGCGCTGGTGCCGCCACCTGTTCCCGATCGGCCAGCTATAAATAGGTACAGTTACAGGGCTGCCATTTACAACCGTAATCTGCTAAACGGTCAGGACTACGGCGGGGACATTGGTTGACGTGTGATGGGTGTCTTTTCAGCATGTGTGGTCTAATCTGACCTGCATACGCAGGTAGAAGCAACAGCTGAAATTCGGAAGAGATATTAACGAAAAAATACCTAATCCGATGTATCCGACGCATCACTTGTTAAGTACTGTACTTCACCGTACCGTGTACTCACCATTCTCTTTTACTATATTTAATCGTAAATTTATCAGCGGCCATTAAAAAAAAAAAAAAAAAAACAACCGGTAGTGCTAGCATTCGTACGGCGCTCTACTACAGCAGTGGTTTCGATCTTCCTCATTGTATAATTTTTTTGTTTTTTTTTTTTCATTCACATTGCTTCTGTTCGATATGTGTACATTTTGTTTAAAAAAAATCTATTGATTCTCATGGTTGCTCAAGTATCATGTTTGCCGATCAGTTTTCGCGATTCGAGCATAGAAAGCTGCTGTTCTAGCTGCGTTTACTCGAGACCGTTTAACAAACTGGTGATTGGGTCAGGGTTCACACCTAACTCAGTAATAGTGTAAATGGTTCACTAATTATACCCGAGTAGATTGTTAATGCGTTGACAAAAGACTTGGCAAGGCCCGATTCAAGACTCGTGCCTTGACAGAAGATAAGACCAGTTTATGTATACAACAATTCTGTGACGATCGAACGAAAAGAAAACCAATCGATATATTTCGAAAAAACTGAACATAGCTGTAATCGTCGTTCGATTAATCGAAATTTAAAGCCATCTGTATAAAGGAAAGTGAACTACGGAGTACGATTTTCAACGATTCGAAGTATATACGTCGTTTATTAGATGTATCCTGAAAACATTCGAACGAATTTCTTTCCTGTATCAAATTGCGTCGTAGTTGTATAGAAATGAACCTGAACGAAATTGTAAGATCGAAAAGAAAACTGAACGATACTTTGTTGCTATACCGAACTGTGTCTGTCTTCGTACAAAAAAAAAAAGAAAAAAACGAAAAAACAGTATCTTACTCGAGCATCTCATGCTTTCCGCTTTCAGTTCGCTGCTAACAATTTTATAACAGATATTTAACTAGTTGTATCGGGTAACGGGTGACGAAAAAAAGTAACATGCCCGCTTTACTTGCTGTTTTGAGAAAAAATTCACCGCTGGGTGAATCATTATGTGGGTGCATTTTCCCTCTTTTTTTTCCTCTCCTCCTCTTTCTCTTCTTTAGTTTGGTTTGGTGTGCTACTTACTCTCTACATAGAATGTAACAACAGACTGTTATATCGATATATCTTCATGATCAATCGCGACTTCCATTATTTTTTATTTATCGCCTAAGGACCTAGACCTTTTTATCAGCGGAGAGAGAGAGAGAGTTACGTCTCACGTAAACAGGATTTTTATAGATAATGTCAAGGTTAGGACGGGAGTGATATTTTACGAAATTCCAAGGTACTCTGTGCACACACGTTGTTGACTATTTATTTAAAAGGTTGAATAGATGTACTTATTTTCTATATAACGAGACTAATCGAAAGAGATATCGAATGGTACGTCTCCAACGGAGACGACCACAACAAAAAGAAAAACTGTGCAAGATCTTGTTGAACGAAGTTGAATGGGCGTGTTTTGCCGTGTTTCAGTTTTATTGTTGGTTGCAACGAAGGCGATTACGCTGAAAGAGGGTAAAACGACGGCGATGCGTTACGAAATTTAAGACTGGATAAATAAAAAATAAAAAGAAAAAAAAAACGATAATTAGGCGCGTATTCGGATTCGAAGCTGTTCTAATTGTGCGACGAAATTGTGTATCAGCCATTTTACACGCGTAAATGTACGATATATTTTTGTATTTGGTGTATTGTGTCGCAAATAATTCGTGTTTATATTCCATTTCATCCGCGTCCTCGATTTTTCTAATGTGTTTTGCGATCAATTGTGCGTGTCGATCTTTACGGTCGAGTGGAAATCCATCGAATCATCGTGCACGTGTTCTTTTTTTTTCTTTCTTTCTTTCTTCTGTGATCGCGTTGTTGCTATTTTGCGTTTTTGTAAATTGGTTGATACGAAAGGACAACGTCATTCCGGTAGTTTAGTTGACGACGACGACGACGATGATAAACGAGAGAAAAAAAGTTAAAATACTAAATTAAAGAAAAAAATCGCTAAAAAAGGCGAGTCTTTCCGTTTCTCGGTATAAATTGAGATTTCGCAGATAGGGACTACCGTAGGGCCTCACCTTATTCTAATCACTGTTCCGACTTTCCGTTTAGGTGCATAAACAATAGCAATTTATCGAAATTATTCTAGCCTTTTTAAATGCAAACTAATGCAGTACCGTATATATATATACATGTATGTATATACTGTGTACATATATACAAATATATGTATATGTATACACATGATTGTTCTTGCATAAATGTATTACGTAACAAGTTGCGTGTTTTTTTTTTATATCGAACATTATAGTGGTTTTAAGAGAGATAAGAGGACCTAAGGTTTTTAACATTGCATAGAATAGAAAGTTTTATATTGTGTTCTCATATTCTTTTTTTTTTTTTTTATTACATTGTCGTTGTTTTGTATTCAAATATTTGGGGCGTTAAAGCATATTTTTATTCAATTAATCGTTTATTAACGCAAACATTGTTTGTTAATGACTTGATTTGATAGAACTTGAATTTGTCAATTATCCTTTAATCTTTCAAATGTCTAACAGTTGAAGAGAACATTTCATTCTTGAAAAAGCATCTGCAAGTGTTACGTAATTATTGTATGCCAGTGTTCTGAATTTAATAAAGCGATAATCTATACTCTTGGGAAAGCAGTATTAGGATCTGTTAATTTCTTACCTTTCAGTTTAAGAAAAGAAAATCAAAATGCAGGATTTTCAATGATTATGTTGAGTAAAGTACAGCTAGCAATTTTTGGTATATCATTTGTATTATGAATTGCAAGCATTCCAAGGGAATTTCTCTTTTCTTAAAGAACACCAAGATGAATCTGTTCATTGACTAGTCGAATTAGCGTTTTTTAGATATGGTTCCTGTAAATCACGTTTACTGCTCAGTATCTATGAATAACATTAATTCTTAAGCATACATCAGTATATCTATTTCGTTACTTTTGTATTTTGATTGTAGATAGTCGTTTTGATTATCTGTTTACTATTTATTAAACACCATTCTTTTGTATCGTTCTCGAGAAGTCGTTCACTACATCTAATCATAGTGTACACTAGACCCCTTGTACATAAAACTGTATTATATGTGGATAATATAACGATTATTATAAACTATATAAAGCTAATGGCAATAAAGATAAACAGTCTCCAAATTATATAGATTCTCGCAACTTTCATGTGCAATTCCCAATGTTTCAGATATCAGTAGGTACTCACTAATATGATATATGTGCATGATACATATGCATCTATACACTTTTATTAAAAATGCACGTTATCTATTCTTACTTTGTATGCTACTGCATTTCTGAGCATACACAAAACCTGTTACACTATTATCAGTTAGACTTGTACTATTTTTAGTTTTCTATTTCGAGCAAAATTTCAAAAAAAGAATAGCAGCAATGCACATATCATTAATCTTATCATAGTTTGTGCTTGAAATTGTTGTTACAAACATTTTACAACATAAAAACAGTAATATTGTTATCAATAATTATAGCTGTTGCATGGACTATAAATTCTACATATTTATTTTGCTTTGTTATGCTTTCCTTTATTCCCTCTACATATTAAATGTTTGCTAGTAAGTAATCTGTTTCAAAGTTATATCTGTAAGCATGAACAATACACTATTTAAAATTGCAACCACATATACACAAACTTTAAGTGAAATTTATGTTGAAGAACTAATAATATTTCATTCTAAAGATAACACTTTCAAAGAATTGAAATATATAAACAATCTAAAAGTCAAAATGATTAATTCCTGATAAGTTTCTAAAAAAAAACCCTACTTGTGGTTACTATTGTTAAAAGAAGAGAGACCTAATTTATAACTGTAATGAAACAATTCTAAATTTTTTTAGAAGCAGAACTAACTAAAAATAAGTAGAATTAATCATGTCAACTTTCACTATTATGTACAAAAATTGATATTTGATTGTATATTTTCTCTTTTATTGTTAATTTAAACGACCATCAATTACGTAATTATTAATTTCAACTTTTTAAAATGTAAACTAGAACCTCACTTGTATTGTGTATTTATTTGATATTTATTTAATGATTCTATTAATTTATTGCATGCGACAGGATTGAGCCAGTGTCATCGTGAATGAAGACAGCAGACCATCATCAAAACTGTTCCAACGTGCACGGAAGTTGTAATATTTAAGTTTTTTTTAAACAAAAATTTGTCGAAGATGTACCTATATGTTACATTGGCAAAACATCTGCTTTCTTCCATTAAGAAAGAAGAAATTTTATGTTGCACCAAAAGTATTTTCAAGTATTGTCAGGTATCGAATAATGTAAGGTTAAAGGTTCTGTAAAAATGTTAAAAAAGTTTAGCAAAAATCATCATTCGTTATTCCATTCTTTCATTAAAGAAATTTTAATTGTGTAATATTATTATTTCGTATCGCGTTGAGGGGTAAAAATAGAACATTTAACTCTCATGAAGTTCTCGGAAGAAACAATATCACCATCAAGTTTTCATCAAATAAGTTTATTACAACTTAGTTTTTAAAATTAAGACATGCCTCAAGATCTAATTACAAACTGGTACTAATGTCGCTTCGATTATGTCCTACCTAACGAAGAAACGAAGTTTTTCTAGTTGATCTTCAGTTAAACAGATCGGCTGGAAAAAGAAAGGTGTTATGCAAGAACCTTAATGATAAGCTACTTTTGAAAATTTCTCGTTACATTCATTCGAGGAAACTTAACGTTACGTTAAGGAATTACCGAGTAAGACGACTTTACACAAATACACTATTAGCTACGAAATTCAATAAACACGTGAAGTTAAGAACAGATTGCATGGATCGCCATTACAAGTGTACTATTTTAAAAGCAAAAGATATCGCTCAACATGATGAAGCTTCTTTATCTTCCTTCTTCTTTTTTTTTTTTTTTTTTTTT